ATTGTACCTGAATATCACCAACTATTAATGGAAAAATAAGACACACCAGAAATGAACATGAGGTTTAAATAAGATTAAGGGTATAAAATGCTTAGCATAGTGCCTGACACATAGTGGTTACTTAATAAACGGAGTAATAGTTGTACTAACAACAAGTGAAGCAACATTAAATATTAGTTTCACATAAAAAGGAAAGAAAACTAAGGCACAGGATAAACAACTTCTCTATAGTCACAACTAGATATTACAAATCTTGTTCACAAGTTGGTTGATTTAGATCAAAAAATCATATTGTTTTGTGTGTCTGGTTTGTTTCTATAATACTTTTCCAAAGTTTGTTTTATTGTATTTTAAATAGAGAGTCAAAAGAAGTTTTAAGTATTCCTTAGTATTCTCTCATTTTTGTGAAGCCTTCATGGATCAAACAACCGAGATACATTAATCATTTGTTCCTCCGTATTCCTCTGCTATGCAAATAGTTTTATCAATGCAAATTTCATACTGAACTGAAATTAATAATCTCTACATTCCTTATCCATCACTAAATAGTAGACCACCTCAAAGTCTGATATGTGGTTGCATTCATTTTCATATCTCTAGTGCATTGCATAGTACCTGGTACAGCAATAGTTTTCAATAAATTATCTGTAAACCTGAGCTAAATATATACCTGATTCTGTTTATTCAGAAGCTTTCTAAAAGGTGTAAGTAGGTTAAACAGAATTATTTTTTAGTGAGTGTTTTTTATTTTTAACTTAGTCAATTTACAAAGCTACTCTTCTGAGATGACATTTCAGAATACAGTCAATGAGGAACATTTTTATTATTCTGTGCAAAAGAGGAAGAAGAAAAGCAAGACACCAATATGAAGTTAACTTTCTAATTTCTCCTCAGAAGTGAGTACAATATCTTTTCTTTAGTTTACCAGTTATGAACCCTCAGCTGTCTGATCCAGAACTTAAAGAAGAACAATGTGTTCTAAAACTAAGCATAAATTTAAATATTTGTTACTTCTGATTGATATTCTATTGCTGCTCTCTACTATTTTAGCATCTAAATTCGAATTATTCAAAATACTGCAAAACAGGACTGTGGGTAATACAAATATATCATACTCTAATCATTTTTTTGCACAGAGAAGAGAAAATTCAGACATATCTACTAATGATTTTCATTCTGTTGACAGTTAATACTACATTTAAACTATTTAAAAAGGTGTATCAGGATGTTTTTGGATACAACTAATAGAAAACCAACTCTCACTTAAACAATAGAAATGTATTATCTTACAGAATGGCAGTTTGGTCCAATGTGGTTTCAAGGTTTGGTTAACCCAGGGACTCCATCATCAGCAAGGATCCAGATTCTACCTATAAAATCTGCTATCTATAGGGCTAACAAGCTAAGGCTAGTACTCCTCATGGTCAATTACTAGTAGTAATTTAGGTTACATTCTTTCATGTTCACATCTAACAGAAGTTAGTCTGCCATTGGATCTCTTTCAAATGAGGAAGAATCCTAGAAGTTCTTACTTATTCCTCTTCATGCCTCATTGAACTGAATTGGTTCATGTGCTCATTTCCAGATCTATGGCTGTCAAGATTATCAATAGTCCAAATAGATCAAATTCTAATACTAATGGCAAATTTCCAATCCAAGTAAGTAATCTTGATGTTACTTACTAGGGAAAAATAATTCCAGAATGATAATTACTCACAGAAGACTCAAAGGTTTTCTTTACGTTAAACTAACAGGTATTACATGAGGACCCACTTACCAGGTTCTATGTGAGATGACCAGGATATAATTATGGAAAAGACACACGATTCTTTTATTTTTTAAGTTGTAGATAGATGCAATACTTTTATTAATTTATTTTTATGTGGTGCTGAGCATTCAACCCAGTGCCTCACTCAGGCTAGGCAAGTGCTCTATCACTGAACTAAAACTGAGGCCCCCAGACATGATTCTTGATGCCAATTGTTCTCCAAGAGCACAGAGGAAAGATGATGAACTCAGTATGTTAGTACAGAAGGACAGAAGTGGTTTGATTCACAAAACATTTGAGATAAAATAAATAGGACTTAGTAGTTGACAAGATATGTGGAGTAAGGGAAAGGAAGATTACAATGGTGATTCCTAAATCTCTGACATAAAGTATTAGATAAAAGGTGATGGAATCTGTTGAGATGAGAAACACGGAAGGAAATACTTTTTCCTAGATCAAGCCTGTTTGGGGATACACTGAGGTTTATTTTCTATTCTAAATGACTTATAAATTCTTCTATGCTTAGAGGCTTTAATCAGGCTTTAATCCCCATTCAAACAACTTGAGGGCTAGTATTTACACCAAGTATAGAGAAGGAGGTAGGGGAATAGGACAGGAAAATATTTCTAAACTCTTAGAAACAGCGCTCACATTTCCAAAGAAAAAATAATCCCCAAATCCTCATATGATACTATGTATTCTACTGCTGTTTTATTACACTCTAACATTAAAATGCTGAAAATTATTTTGTAGGACATACCACCAAAGTGCTAAAAATAAAAGTAGAGACTCAAAATAAGACAAAATTAAACTTAAGCTTTTTCAAAATATGTAAGTGGTATTCTTCAACATTTAAATAAGTGAAAACAATTACCTTAAAAATATTATCATTTTAATGACTTTCAATCCCTATATGTTCACAATTTAGAATATAATATTAATATAAACAGTCAGTCCTCCATATCCATAGATTCCAAATCCACAGATTCAAATCAACTTCAGTTGGAAAATACAGTTAGGTCTAAGAAGGCTGCACCCATACTGAACATGTAGAGGCTTTTTTCCCTTGTCATTCTTCCCTGAAGAATATAGTGAAATAGCTATTTACATAACAATTACATTCTAATAGGTATTATAAATAATCTACAGATGATTTAAAGCACACAGGAAGATATATGTAGGTTATATACAAATACTATGCCATTTTACATAAAAGACTTGAGATCTGAGCACCCCTGGATTTGGTATATAAGAAGGATCCTAGAACCAATCCTCTGGGGCTCCAAGGGATGATTGCATTTCACTCTATGGGTACTTTACAAAATAAATACTAAAAAATGTCTACTATTTATCTTACTTACCTCTAAAAGAAAATCCCCTAGATACTGAATTGGATAAAATGGAGCCTTAAAGTTATCTTTTTCTTTCTCAGCATTGATTCTTGCATTACTGGCAATCACATGAGTTACTCCACTTGGTGAACTTTTTGGTAAAATAACATTTGCCTTTCCAGCCTCCAAAACTCTAAATAAAAATGTAAATGGTATAAAATATATTAGAAAAATTGAATATATTTAGTCAAATTATTCAAATCAATTACTCCTTGGAGCAGGAGTATAACTATCTGAAAGGAACTAATTCCTTTGGGCCACTGAGGATCACAAAAAATAACTATTGCAATAATTTCTTAAAATATAGGATTTTCATAGCAAATGTTTAAGAAATCATACTATTCTTTCTGCCTATTCATTTCTTGATATGGGAAAGACTTTTATGAAGCAAGAATATTAAAGTATTTCCTAAGTATAAGCCAAGCGTTAAGCCCAAAAGAATAATGAAGAACGGCTAAGGAAGCAGATATCCTGGAAGGCAATATATACCCAAGGAAATCATTCTGGACCACAAAAAATGAAATCAGTTGCCAACCTTAAAAGTTCAGCCTTTAAAAATTTTTAGCTCTAGTCTATATTAAGGAAAAAAAATACATATAGACTCAGGCAGACATACACGTCCCATAAGCACTAAGCTTCTGCTTTTAGAAAGCTATACTGCTACCACCTAAAAATAAGGCCAAATAATCCACATCATAATTCTCTTTAAGCTCATTAGCGAATCAAGGTAATAAGTCAATCAAATAAGTTAATTTCCAAAGAATGATAGGCCCCTATGTGAAAAGGATTGGATTTCCAAACCATTTCACTGTTGGCAGAGCAAAGGAAAGTGGTTGGTCATAAGAACACATAAGAATCAGTAAAGGGCTGGGGTTGTAGCTGAGTGGTGAAGTTTCCCTTGCATATGTGACTCACTGGGTTCAATCCTCAGTACAACATAAAAATGAAATAAATAAAACAAAGGTACTGTGTCCATCTACAACTAAAAATATTTTTTAAAAAGAACCAGGCAAAAATTTAAGACAATTGAAATGAAGAAGATAGTTTGTGTACCAGTTTTGAAAAGCAAAGTCCCTGACCCAAGAAAGTATGCTCTCATTTGCCAGCTCTTTGGCATAGGCCTTCATTAAATGTTCATGAAAAATACTGGGGGCATGTCAGGAAAAAAATACAAGCCCTCCTGTTCAGGACAGATGGGGACTGGTTGCCACTGAAGTGTATACATAAAACCAGGTCCCCTTCCCTGAGCTCTTCCTTCTCTACTATAAAGGAAAAGCCTTCAGATGTTTGGAGAAGAATAAGAAAGTTGTCTGCCCTCAGACCTAGGGAAAAAAATACAATGTTTTTCTCTTGAAGGGGAGGGAGTAAAACTTATCTCTAAGGAAGGAGCAAAAAAACTCTCCTGCTGCCCAGTCCCCCACCCCAAAAGATCCACTGTTTCTGCATGAGAGAAGCAAAAATCATCGCTATAAAGGAGAAACACAAATATCCCCTGGGAGCAGGATCTTAGAACAATACACAGAGATATAACACTGGGGAGAGACCAGAAACTCTCTCTTGCCGAAAAAGCCTGTCCACAGATAGTCAGATTTTGATTGTGGGGAGTGGGGCAGGAAGGCTAGAAACACAAATACTGAGAAAGCCCCAATCACAGGAACCAATAACATAGAGAAGGATTAAAATGAAAGCCTATCTAGAGCTGAGAATATACACTATCCACACTCGGCCTATAAATGAGTAAAAAGATAGATGGGAAGAACATAAAGAGTGTACTCCTGTGCCCTTTTAGTGCAGGAACTACCAAAAGGTTAAGGCAGAGCAAGAGCACTGATAAAAACCTTTCTAGTACCCACGGTCCCAAACTAAATACAAAGAAATTAGAGTTCACTGCTGTTAGCAGCAGAGATGCACTGAGGGTGACTATAACACTAACAAAACCCAAATCCAACTCAATAACTGACAAGATTAACTCAATCACCCATAATAGCCCCCTTATAGAAGAGGCAGTCCCATTTTTAATATAAATATTATTCATCTTAGCCTGTATTATTCTTCTACATGCGATGTCTAATATTAAGCAAAATGCATTAAAAATATAAGATATCTATAGAACAGTTAAAAAAAACTTAAATCAAGAAATAAAAGAATTAACAGTATGGACTGGGATATAATTCACGTTGAAATGATCAGAAAACCACCTTTAAATAACTATGATTTAAAAGAACTTAATGGAAAAGATGTACAATGTACATAAACAGATTGAGAACTCAGCAGACATCAATGAAAATGGTAGAAATAAAGGGCACTATATCAGAGAACAATTTCTTTAATAAGCTTATCAAGAGGCAGAAACAACAGATAAAAGAATTACTGAACCTGAAGATAGATCAAAATTTTTTCAAAAGAAGAACTGTACATGAAATAGTTATGGAATAGAATTAAATAGTCTAAAATACATGTCATGGCTAGGTGTAGTGGACCTCTATAATACCAGTGACTGAGAAGACTAAGGCAGGAGGATCACAAGTTTGAGGCCAGCCTCAGCAACTTAGGGTAAGACTATGTCTCAAAGTGAAAAATAAAAAAGGCTGGGTTGTAGTTCAGTGGTAAAATACCTCTGGGTTCAATTCCCAGTGCTGAAGTGGGACGAGGGGCAGAAGCCAGGTAATGGAGTTCCAGTGGAATAACAACATAAGATGAGACACATATAAAAAATAATGGCTGAATATTCTTTAATAGTAATAAGAAAAAACCCAAATGTATAAGAAACATAAAATACCCAAGCCAACAAATAAACAAAATACACACATGTATATATACATCAGTATCAAAGTGATAAAAAATAAAGGTCAGGAGAAAAACTTGAAAGAAATCAGACAGAAAGACTTAAAAGAAACTACAGACAGAAAGAATGGCAGTTGATTTCTCATCAAAATTGGTACAAGATAGAAGACAATAAACAGAGCGTTTAATTACTGAAAGTAAAAAAAAAAATAGTCAACCCATAATTTTATATCCAGGGTCTGTGTGGGAGAAAAAAAAATTAAAAAAACTAAGTTTTCTCTGCTCTCACACCACAATAATCAACAGAGAAAACTTCTGTTATCTCAAAATGTGAGAATTTATTTCTGTTAGCAAACAAGCAGTCAATTCTGCATCAGAAGATACCACCTGGATGTCCTCTAACCCAATTCAGTTCTGACAATGAGAACTAAAGGTAGTGTCAAATTCCACAGTTTGAGGGTTCAGGTCCTAGGATTGCCCTCTCCCCGAGTTTGGATGCTAACTGCTAGCCTCAGATTGTTTTATCTTTGCTTCTGACTGACCAACTATAAACCAGGGTTCAACTGGGTTTGATTAATTTGATACAGTAGCTCACAGAACTCAGAGATATGTTTATCATAAAGACTATTACAAAGGATACAGATGAACAGATGCATAGGGAAAGGCATGTGGGAAGGAGGTGGAGCTTCTGTGCCTTCTCCAGGCATACAGACTTTAGGAACTTCCATGTATTTGGCTAATCAGAAGCTCTCAGAAACCTGGGTTCCTTATGCAGGCATTGTTACAAAGATATCTGTAAATTCAATTACCAATCAATTATCACTGGATTAAATTGTTTAAAAAAAGACACAGAGTGGGCTGGGTGCAGCGGCACATGCTTGTAATCCCAGCAGCTAAGAAGGCTGAGGCAGGAGAATAATGAGTTCAAAGCCAGCCTCAGCAATGGCGAGGTGCTAAGCAACTCAATGAAACCCTGTCTCTAAATAAAATATAAAAATAGGGCTGGGTGTGGCTCAGTGGTGGAGAGCCCCTGAATTCAAATCCTGGTACCAAAAAAGAAAGATACAGAGTGGCCAGGTTTAAACAAAAATAAACATGATCCACCTATATGCTGCCTACAAAAGATTCACTTCAATCTTTAAAAACACACATAGACTGAAAATGAGAGAATGGAAAAGCATAGTCCATGCAAAAAAAAAAAAAAAAAAGCACGGCTGGCTATACTTAGACAAGAAAGATAAAGTCAAAAACTGTAAGAAAAGACCAATAAAGTCATTATATAAAGATTAAGGGGTCAATTCATCAAGAGGATATAATTGGAAGTATACATGCACCTAAATATATAAATCAAATATTAAATGATCTAAAGGAATAGATAAATTGCAATACAGTAATAATAGGAGACTTCAATATAAATACTTTAATACTTCAACAATAGGCAGATAATCTAGAAAGAAAAAAAACATTAGATCTGAACTATACTTGGAACCAAATGACCTAACAGACATATACAGAACATTCCATCCAAACCAATATAAGACATATTCTTCTAGAATGTACTCAATACATTCTCCAGGATAGTTCTATGTTATATCACAAAATAAGTCTGAACAAACTTAAAATCATTACCTACTGTCTTTTATAAACACAATGATAAAAAGTTAGACTAAATCAGTAATCAGAAATCTTTAGAAAACACACAAATAAATGGAAATTAAACAATATATTCCAGGACAAACAATGAGTCAAAGAAGAAATCAAAAAGAGACATCAAAAACATCCTGAGACAAGAGCTGGGGACACAGGTCAGGGGTAGAATGACTATCTTGCATGAATGAAGCCCCGGGGTCAATCCTGAGCAAAGAAACACCTTGAGACAAATGATAATGGATATAAAACATACCAAAACCTATAGAATGCAGCAAGAACAATATTGGAGGGAAACTTATAGCAATAAAAGCCTGCATCAAAAAGAAATTTCAAATAAACAACCTATTGTTACACACCAGAGTACCAGAAAAAGAAGAACTAAATCCAAAGTTTGAAAAATGAAGGAAATAACAAAGATTAGAGCAGAAATAAGTAAAATGGACACCAGGAAAAAACAAAACAAAACAATAAAACCAAGAGTTGGATTTTTAAAAAGATAAATAAAATTGACAAACCATTAGCTACACTACAAAAAGAATAAGGACTCAAATGAAGAAACTCAAAGGTGGGGAAAAAAAGAAATTATAAGTGATACCAAAGAAATACAAGTCATAAAAGACTTATGAACAATTATATGCTAAGAAATCAGAAAATCTAAAAAAATTGATAAATTCCTGGACACACACAACCTACCAAATT